GAAGCGCATTCATCAAGGCTTTGAGAACCGTCCATGCTCCACAAGCTGGATTAACAAGTATTATATATATATATTTTTATATATATGAAAAAAAAAGCAATTTTTTTTTTTTTTTTTTTTTTTTTTTTTTTTTTTTTTTTTTGGGGGGGGGGGGGGGGGGGTGGGTGGGTGGCAAATCCCCCCCCCTCTCTCCGTGTCTTTCTGCACATGCGCATCGATATAGGGGAGGTTACTTGGCGGAGGCCCAAGACAGCTCCTGTTTATTTCGGCACTTTAACTAATGAAGTTAATATGAAGTTCATTAACTTATTTTAAGTTACGTATTTATTTATTCCCCCCCAAAAAATAGTAGCCGCCAATTGTTATAAATATTAAATATTAAATAGGAATTGACATTGAATGTGTTCTAGGTTCCCCCCCGGGATTTGATTTCACAATCTATCTGTCACGAAACATTACATGGCTGTTGTGCTCTGTACCAATCAACAGTCACAAGCTTCAGATTTGTTTATTTTTTATTTTTATAAATAATTTGGACCATTTCTCAATGTATGTGTGTCATCCTTGCGCGCGGGGGCCATGCTAATCTTCGTTCTCTGTATCGTTCCAACTCTTTTAAGTTTTAACGGATGTCCCGGAGGACCACAAGCTTTAGATTCTTACGTCTTTAGGAGTAGTGGTAGGTAGGTAGTGAAAGGCAAAAAAAAAATCTCAGTATTATTGAGGAGGAGGTGTTGAATAAACGGCAAAATTTTGAAATAAATAAATTGATACAAGTATAGAGTTCCGATTCTAGCAAATGTAAAAAAATTAAAACAGGAAGCTGTTCCGCGCGGCTCCGGCCTCAGCAGTCCTCCACCGCTGGACCACCGGTGCCTGCACAGAAAATTGAGGCCCGGCCATGGTGTTGTAGAGGCCAGTCACTGAGTACACAGTGATCACCTGGAGCAGTAGGCCGTGGGTGTCCTGGAATATGAGACCACCTCCCATCCCATCCTCACATCAATACTCCTAGCGCACCCCCTATCCCACTATCCTACCTCAGTGTGACCAGCACTCAGGACCATTACCCTACCAATGGGCAGGTAACTTGGACCGAACAGCAGTGATAGTCACCAGGGCTGATAGGTTGCCCAGCCCTGGTGGAAGCGGAATCGGACAAGCCCTGTCGAACGAGAACTTCGGACACCAGACCCAGACAATGTACTACAGGCCCCAAGAGACTCTAGGCCCTAGGTTTCAGACAGGGTAGCACCCATTGAAGCAGTCTTGTCGTCTTTCCCCTAGCTTACCCAAGGCCAGGCGGAACTCGGACTGGCCTGAGCGAATTATACCCCTACCCTTACTCCCGGGTCTAAGCTTTATATATAGGCACTAGACAGTTCTATCCAAATATCAGTATGAACTCCGGTGGCCCATACCTGTCCCTACTGCAGATACTAGACCCCACCCAGTGACTAGACCCCGCCAGTCTGATAGTTGTGTAATTCGCGATGTATGTGGATACACGAAGGCTGTGTATGCTCCGTGTATCTATGCATGAAGATGTACAGAGAGCACTGTGTGTGGGAACTTGTGTATGTAGCCCGTAGGCCATGTATAATTCGCAAGCTATGTATATGCCCGAAGGCTGTGTGTGCTCTGTGAATCAATGTTCGAGATGTATAGGCAGCATCACGTGTGCATATCGAAGAGAGAACGGGGTAAGCTGGACAAGGACCCCCCCAAGGTCCGAACCAAGCTTGAACCCGTGACCTTGTAACGTGTAATTGAATGACTCTACCATGTGAACGACTAGTGAAATGGCACGAACGTGTGATATGCCAGACTGGGGAGATCAACAGAACACCACGAACGTGTGATATGCCAGACTGGGGAGATCAACAGAACACCCGAAACCAACACCCCCAAGCAACCCCTGTGAAACCCAGAACCAACATACAACACCATGAACAACCCTTGGGTGGTGCGCAGGCAGTGTCTGTAATAGCTAACCTGCGTCATCCCAAGGGGGGGTGTGTCCAGCCGTGCGTCATTCTAACGCCCTGCGGGTGTCCATGCGCAAGGCTACGGATTTGAACCCGCAACCTCATACCACAATGTGCATTTTCAACAGGTGCTCTAACCACTGAACAACATCAACTGGACAATTCAGGCCCGGCCCTAAGTGAAGCCCGGGGCAAACGACAAAGGGGTTCACCAACCGTCATCGACGGCTGGCGTGAGGCAGTCGGGAGGAGGACTGGGTACAGTCAGTCTCTCCCACTAACTGGTAGGCCCAGCCTCTCAGTCCATTGCAGAGTCTACGCCCCCCTGGTACTTGGTCCCAAAGTTTGAGTGTCTGAGAAGAGCCCAGTTCCAACCAGGCAGCTGCGGCCTCGAGGAAGTAACAGAAAGAAGGTGGCCACAGATTCCGTACGTTTGGAGGCACTGGTAGTCAGCGCTAGGGCTGCAGTAAGCACACGCTGGCCAGGCCAGCACTCAATGACGAAGAAGGACAAGAGCAGGCACAGGTAGGTAGCTGCTCAGCTCAGCGGAAGTCATAGCTTCACTGAGGTGGGAGAAGGGCGGCGCTGGGGCCGGGGTGATCAGGCAAGAAGGTCAGCGGGGGGAACAGACTGACGAGCACACTTGTCGTGATCAGACTGTAGCCTTGTTAGGCAAGAAGAGCGCGGAGAAAGAAGAATGGAGAGAGAGAGAGAGAGAGAGAGAGAGAGAGAGAGAGAGAGAGAGAGAGGGTGTAAATCAAGAGAGAGTAGGAGAGTAGCTGTGGCATACTCAGTTCCACACGGGCCCCGCAGGGCCCGACAGCAGGGTTATGGGTTTTCGTAGGGTTTAGGGTCTGTATCACCCGTACGACCCAGTAGGCCACTATAATAATTTCGTTTTGTCAAATTTAATTTTCGCCAGGTTCCTGCTTTTGGCGCCAAACCATTTCGTATTTTCGTTTTGGCAGACTCCTGCTTCCCGATGGACGACAGATCAGATATTAAACTGATCAGAACAGATACTACACTTGATCTTCCTTAGTCAAAAGGGCAAGAAATGTATTAGGGCGCCAAACCATTTTGTATTTTCAGTTTGGCAATTTTGGGCGCCATTCGTTTTGGCAACTTTGGGCGCAAGACCTTTTTTCGCTAGGTTCCGTCTGGCTGGCGCCAGAACAGATTCCTGATCTTGGCGCCAGACCAGTGTTCCTTTCGACCAGACTGCTCCCTTTAGGCCTACCTTCTTCCCCCGAATAGAACGTACGGTCATTGTAGTTGTATTTGGGGTATGTTTCAGTCAATATACAGCTATAATGACCGTACATTGTTTTCAGGGGAAGAAGGTACGACACTAGGCCCAGCGTTATATATAGCTGGGCGGACCTCATTCTAGGAAGGTTGTTCGGAGTAGTTCTCAGTCGGAGGTAGTTCTGAGACAGCAGCGAGTAGTCTTCAGTAGTCGACGCGCTGGGCGCAAGCTAGGAGTTGGAGTGCTCCCGCTGCACTGCACAGAGAGAGAGAGAGAGAGGAAGAAGCCAGGAGGACCTACCTGCGACTTACCTGTGACGACATAGCTCCAGTTTCGTCTTCGGGACATCCACACCTGCATCAAGGCGGCACCTTTCTGCAGGTTAGTGCCTGGTATACATGCAGTGTGAGAGAGGGAGAGAGAGGATTGCTTCTTCTTCTTCTTCGTTCTCTCTGTCTGATCTCCACAGAGAGAGAGAGAGAGAGAGAGAGAGAGAGAGAGAGAGAGAGAGAGAGAGAGAGAGAGAGAGAGAGAGACTTGGTGACATTCGGGCATTGCCCAGTTCCGTGACATTGTGACTTGACATGGTATGAGCAGCAACGTTGGGGATACATTGGAGACTGGGTTCTTCGGGCAATGGTGTTCGATCCTCCCTTTCTCCCTCTTCCCCCCTTCGTCTCTTCTCCCTCTTTCTCTGAGTGATGATGTACGCAGTCAGGTTCTGTCATTGTCCATGCTGAGTCAGATCTTGGTATTACAGTGTTCCGCTGTGCTATTTTTCTACTGTCTCTGAGAGTGATCGATGCCAATTAGGCATGTGACAGTACAATAGGCAGTCACATCATAGTAGAGCTGCCACGTTGGGGTTGTAATAACGAGCGGAGGCGAGAAGTTGGGCTTTCTTCGTCAAGGGACTTCAGTGGCAATGTGTTGTCGTTCGGTGTGTGCTCTCGGCCGTGTATTTCTGCTTTCAACACTTTGCTCATATACGCTTTTGGTCTGCTTTTGGTCTGCTTTGGGTATGCTCTGAGTCGTTCGCTGCTCGGAAGATTGGTATTCTCTCATTGATTTGGGACCTCGATGCACCACTCACCAAATATGCAAAATGAAAATGAATCTTCCTCCTGAACACGTAAATATACACCGCTGTATTTTTTGGCTTTTCTGCATTTGATGAGTGGTGGTGGAGCGAGGCCCTTGGTCCCTTGCAGTTCCCCTTATAGTATGTTCTTCAGATTCTTTTATCAACAAGTGTTTGCCGGTTTACAGGTTTTTCCGCATCTGCAGTGCGGCACGTCTGCAAATGTACATGTACTTTTATCGGTCAGATGCATTCTCTGCAAGACCCATCAGGAAAAAAAAAGCATGTACATTTGCAGAGAGAAGGCAGAAGTTCTTTTGCATGCGAGTCTTATGGATGGAGGAAAGGGAAGACACTGGGAATCTTGAATTTTCAATTAATTAAGACAAAAAATACTTATGAAGGCAGAGTGCTCACGCCGATGGTCGGCGCCCCTGCCGGGTCCATACCCACCAATAACCCCCCAAACACCCCCATACCCCACCACCCCACCCCCCAACACCCCCATACACCCCCCCAACACCCCCAAACTGCCCCCGAACACGTTCATAACCCCCCCATAACCCCCTATACCACCCCCATAACCGCCCCTAACCACCCCCCTCCCCCAATCCCCAAAAGTTTCTCAGCAAATTTGTTCTGTAAGAGCAGTACAGCCCCGAACTCAGATTTGTAAAAGAAGTCAGTGGGTGGCCCTCTACAAACTGGTCGGCAGACCACTGACCAGTTGGCCCTACTGGTAAACGACAAAACGGTCGATGGTTGGCATCGGCGGTCCACGGGTATGCAATCCTGTATACAGGGTCAAAAAAAAGAATTGAAATTTGAAAAAGCGATAAAAAGCTGTGTTACTCCCCGCTGGTAAGTTTATCATTGTAGCCCATGATCGTTCCGCAGCCACACACGGAATCGAACCGGTGACCTCGGCCATAACAGCCTGATGCCATTACCACTGCAATGGTGACCCGGTGTTCAAAACTGAAGCCATACCGGTCATGACATTCGGCCCACCCCAGCACTGTTGCAGCAACGACTTACTCGTCAACACATGACATCAATGAGATCCAGCACAGGCGGCAGCACCCACTCAACGGCAGCATCCATGCAGAATGCGAGACCCTCCGTAACTGCCACATCCCATACACCAAACTCCAGGTGAACACACTGCTGGTAAGTTTATCATTGTAGCCCATGATCATTCCGCAACCACACACGGCCCGGGAAGCCCGGCTGGGGGAAGGTCGCCCGGGTACCCTCCCGGGCGGCTCGGGACGGGCATGGACCGGGCAGGGTCCCAGGCGATCCCAGCGCATAATATAAAAAAAAAAAATCAAAAAAATCCGAAACAAAAATATGTTGTGTAAAATTGCAATACACACGACTTTTGGCTGAGGGCCACCTCGAAATCGGAAATTCCTTGTTAATTTTAAGATAAAAATAAATGAGAAAACATGAGTCCAAAATTCTCCAAATGTAGTATAAACCCAGGACTTTAGTCACTGTTTATACAGGGTCCCCCAAACCCCTCCTGGATGACCCATCTCCAAAACCGTAGTTACGACCGGATTCCGACTGCTTAGGCCAAGCGCAGTCCTGGCCTGAAGTCCTTTTTTTTTTTTGGGATCCTTGCCTCTTTTTTGACCCGTCTGGTTTTGCCAGGCGACCCCCCCTCTGGCCAACTGGGCCAGGCGTGCTCGGCCGGGCAACGGCCCAACGTAGATAAAAAGTTAAAAACTGTTTTTAAAAAAAAAGGAAAAAAAGGGGGGGAAATATCAGAAACTAAGAAACTTTTTTTTAAAAAAAAGAAGAAAAAAAAAAGAAACTAAGAAACTTAAAAAGAAAACTTAAAAAAAAAAACTTAAAAAGCCTTACATCTAAAGATATCGCCGGGCACATCTCGGAATTGAAGTCTGATCTCCGCCTTGCGCTCATTCAGTGCTTTCCCTGCCTTCATGATGAATGGAACACCTGACATAACAGATGATAACACCATATGACGACATCATAGGACGGTATTATGACGTATGGAAATGGATTTTAATTTTTGGATAAAATGGTCAGTCCTCTCCTTTTGTCCGCAAAATGAACGAACTGGCAAAAGCCGAGCCGCGATACTGTAAAGCAGCGAAACTGTAAGTCAGCAGATCATCTATCAATCACCTTTTTGAAAGTTTTTGGGCGGAGGTCCACCGGACGAATGCTTGGAGGGAACAGGAGCAACGACGTGCAGGAAGACGCTGACGAGGATGACTTGGCTGTTCCGGCTGCCCCCCACCTCTTTATATCATTTCTACCTCTCCCCATCAGCTCAACTGCTACTTGGGGGAAAAACAAAAAAAACAAAAAGGAACAAAAGAAATCATCTGAAAATGGCTACAAAGTCCAGGAAGAGATTTGGTGAAGACCTGAAAAGTCCACAAACACATACTTTGGGAAAAAAAGTGGGAAACCAACTGAAAATATTGAAAATTGGGATCATAATTCCCACAAAAAAAAGAAGAAGAAGAAAAAAAAAAGAAAAAAAAAAAAGAGGAGAAAAGACAAAAAAAAGAAAAGAGAAAACAAGAAACAAAGAAGAGAAGACAACGAAAGTAAAGAGAAGACAAGAAAAGAAAGAAGAACCCAGCCAACGTGGCTGAATGGTACCACCCATATAAATGATATAAGGGCATACTAGCCAGTAAGCTAAGAAAGAAGTTTCGCTGAGATGGTTCGAAGTAGCAGCTTCTGAAGTTGGGACACTGGACCCGGTTTCCAGTACAAGCGTATCTGGGTAATGGCCCCAGTCCGTCCGGGTTAGTTTGTGGAGGATTCCCGGCCTCCGCATGCCAAGTTGTTAAATACAAGCTACAGTTCTTTTGAAAAAAAATAAAACTATATCGCACTACGATTTTTTTAACGTATTTTTGGACGGAATTGCTGGCAGATACATCCAGGTATGGCCATGAATGCGGTCAGATACATTTGAGGTACTGCTAGTGATACATGCTCAGTTGAGTGATGTATGTGGAGCCAAGGATCCGCAAAGTGATGAAAAGGGCTCGAATGGACAATGCAGCGTCAGCAAAGCATCAACAAGCAATGTACATCCAGATACATGCGAAAATAGCACCATGTAGCGCAACAGAGGACTCAAAGATTTGACCTGACCTGACAGATACTGACGCGACACCCCATCATACACCACACATGTGAGAGTGAGAGGAGGGACAGCATACATAGAAGAAAGGTCCCTCCTTGAGCACGCACATGGGGAGATACCACGGGTGAGAAGACGGAGGGGGAGGCGAGACGAAGATGGAGAGGGAGGAGACCGAGATCACAATAGCGAAGTCCAAAGTCTCCCCGCCAAATGTCCAATCAATGTCTGCCACAAAATGTCGAATTGGATCCTGGGCCTCATGGCCCGATGTAACCTCTGCATGTAAACTCTCTCTCTCTGAAAGAAGAAGAAGAAGAAGAAGAAGAAGAAGGAGAAGAGGAGGAGGAGGAGGAGGACAAGAGATGGAGATGGAGGGCGAGAAAAGCAAGAGGACGAAGATGTCGCCCTCTTCGCCGTCTCACCTACAGGTAACTGCCGCCATGTACTAACTGCCGCTGGCATGTCTCTGATGCAGGTCGCTGGCATGGAGTCCAGCTATGGCGCCCAGGTAAGCACCGCCGCTGTAGGTATGGCCACCGCCTCAACCTCTACCTACTCCACTACCTCTAGCGGAGCGCTGTGTCGTGCTGCTCCAGCAGGGTGTCGCCCAAGAAGTGAGCTACTTGAACTGTTGTGTCTGCCCTGGCCTGGCCCAGCTATAAGTAGCGCTGGGCCTCGCTGGTGTGCCTCTGGTCCTTGGCCTGAAACGGGCTGCCTGGGTCCCTACCGGACGTCCAGGCCCTCCCTGCTGATGCAGCAGGGAGTGTCCGCTACTGGACGAACACGAACCTGGCCCGAAAGGGCCTGACTGCAAACGAAGAAGGCCCAAAACGTGGCCTTTGTCCAAACAGACCGAAAGTCTGTTCGGACGAACTGCAAGCCTGAAACGACACTTGAACAGACAAAAATAGGATGGCAAATAAATAAATAAATAAATGAATGCTGCCTCAAATAGAATCCTGCGTCCCTCAGGTCGGCCGTGGGCCTCCAGGGCGCACGTCTGAGTGTCGTGCGGCCTGGGACCCCCCAGCAACCGTCGGGCCCCCGAAACGGAGCCCGTGTGCGGGCTCAGCATGTAACACTAGTGTGAGTACGCCCTAACTGTGGATAAACAGACCTGAGTTTGAACTTTGAACCCTGATGGAATTGTCATATTATTGTATAAATTACTCTCAATTAACTAGGCCCAGTCAGTCAATTGACTGATGAATTATTGATGATACGTCAAAGCCTTCGGCCTTGTTTTTTTTTTTTTTTTTTTTTTTTTTTTGGCATTGACATGTCATCTTTGAAGTTTAAACTAACTGGCCCCAGGTAAATTCAGAGATATGTTTTTTATTATTTTCACTTCTTTGCTTCCTTGGGAATTCGATCTCAGGTCTGTGTTTGAAGTTTGAACAGTTCAGGGGTGTACCAGCTAAGCTAAGACTTCGCCTTTCCTTTTCTTTTTTTCTTTAACAGGTCCTTATGGTCCTGCCTCCTTATCCATTCTGGGAAGCGTCAGTCCGGTTCCTATTCCCCCCGGCATGTCAAGAATGAAATACATGGTGAGCACCCTCACACATCCTTCCGTTTGGCCGCCGAAGGATCCCTGATCAGAACTGAGTACTCCTTTTGAGGAGGATTGACTGTCACCTTGCCCTTCCCTACTCTTCTTCTCAGGCCCCGTTCCATTCCGGATCCTCCTGTCTCATACAACTTGACTTAGCAAGAATCGTGCCAAGTTCCCGCTTTAACCCTACTGTTCCTCTGTCGTAATCTTTTTGGTGGCGCCTATAACAGCGGCTCTGACATCATGATCCCAGTTCTTTTCCAAACCAACCTGTTGTCTGTTATGGTGGCAATCTTGGCTCGTATTACCCAATTCCTCCAGAATCTCTCTCTCTCTCTCTCTCTCTCTCTCTCTCTCTCTCTCTCTCTCTCTCTCTCTCTCTCTCTCTCTTGATTGGGTGCTTTTCTGCCCTGGCCTTGTGCATTGTTGAAGCGGCCACCTTTCGCCAACTGCTCCGGATTTCAGTTTCCACCATCCTCAGTAGTAGGGTCCACATTTCCTCTCTTGCCACACTTTTGTCCCCTCGATTCTCTGCCTCTCACTAACTCCCCCAGTACCACCCCCCTAAATACTCTGCTTCTCACTAACTCCCCCAGGATCAAAGGCAGCAAGGATTTGTGGCCTGTGCATCTGCGCTTCTAGATGACCCAGAGTGCCAACTTCCTGAGTAACTCGAACCATATCCTTGCAGCCTTTGAGTCTCCTGGGGGAGTTAGAGAGAAGCAGAGTAAGGGAGTTAGTACTGGGGGGGGAGAGGGGGGAAGGGACGCAGGGTGGACAATAGCGCCCGAATCTTGTTCCAGCAGATCCAGGCTGCCTCAGGGCAGAAGAGGAGACAGTGAGGGATATCTTCTTGTGTACTGGTATTGAACATTACGGCAATGATTACGCATAGTTCTAAGTCTCCTGACCTATTGGGATCCCGATTGTTTTCTCAGAAATTTTTCTTCCTTTTATGGAGCCACTGGTTGACCCGCAGAGCCGCCATTATATTGGGCTACGACTCTGATGAGCCGTTGCATGCTGCAGATTCTTGTCGGTATGATGGGAAGGTACTTTTACTTTGACCATGGAATGGTGAAGGAGACCGCCACCGAATTTCACATCATATTCAAAAATCGTTCTTGTCTTGCATGTATTTTATCTTGATTCCACATCCATTCCTTGGGGTCGAATTCCAAATCTCTTATGTTAAGTTCTGGTTGGGGCCTTCGCCTTTTCTAAGAAAGGAAAGAGAGGGAAAAAAACCGCAGGGTTGTGGACTTGTACAACGAGTGAGAGTTCACCAAATAAAGGGATTCTCTCTCTCTCTCTCTCTCTCTCTCTCTCTCTCTCTCTCTCTCTCTCTC